CACCTGCAGGGCGGGCGGCGTCTGACCGTGCACCCTGGGCTCGGGGCTTCCCTGTGAACTCACACCTCGGCCCCTGACAAGGGGACCCTTGGTGACTTGGGGGACCGTCAGCCAGAGCAGCTGCTCCCCTGGGGACGGCACAGGGCCGGGCATGCTGGGGCGGGAAGAGCAGCCCCCACAGCTGGACCCGGGCCCACCCTGGCCAAGGGCCCACCACCGACAGCCCATTTTCCAGGCGGGGGCCCGGGTGCCCCCACCAGGCCCAGTACGTCGGGCCTCACCTCCCTCTCCCAGAAGCACAGCTGGCCACAGGGGCCACAAGATGGGGGTCTCCGGGGCCGGGAAACTCCTCACCGAGGGCAGAGTCACAGCCCAGGACACTCCCTCCGGGCAACCGTCTCCTGGATGGTTCAAGAAGCCCCATCTCTGGTTGGCTCCCCAGCACCACCCGGGGCACCTGCTGTCTCTTCACGCCCCAGGGGCCCTGGAAACCAGCACCCCCCGCCCCTGGGCCAGGGGCAGGTTGATCCAGGCCTGGTCTGCAGACCCCTTGTGGAGGGCACTGAACCGCCTCCCCTCGATGCTTTGCCGCACAGCTGCCCCTCCCAGCCCCCAATTTCGGGGGGGCTCGACCTTCCCCTTCAGTTCCTGGGAGACACTCCTTGCCCAGGACCAGGCTGGTCCCAGCCGCATCTCCTGCACAGACCTCGGTGGGGTCACTTCTACACCTGAAACTGGCGGGAACACCCGCCCTCCCTGGGGCCCCCCACCCAGGTGCCCCCCCCACCCAGGGCCTCTGAGGGAGCGGAGCCTCCTCACTGCTCCTCTGGCCACTGCTGGTCGCTCCTGAGCGTCCGCTCGTCCCAGAGCACACCTGTCTGTCTGCTCTCGGACCTGCCCTGGCCCAGAATGTCCCTGTCGGTCTCTGCCGCCCACCCGGCCCACGTCCACCAGTCCCTCTCTCACACATTGGGGATGGGGGGGGGGACACGCCTCTGAGCAGGTGGGTGAAGCCGCGATCACACCACGGTGCAGAGTCACCCGGGAGAGAGGCCCCGGGACGCTGCCCCCACCGGCTGCTGGAGGCCTAAGCAGGAGGGGCCCGCTCAGCTGACAGCAAGGAAGCGCACAGGCTAGGCCCCGCGTGGCCGGCGCTGGCGGCCACGACTTGAACACAGGCTGAAGGAGTCGCCCCCTTCCAGCCCCTGCAACCCACAGGCGCTGCCGTGCGAACTCGGCTCCACGCCCACCCTGCCCACGGCACGGTTAACAGGCATGGGAGGAACACGGCTGAGCAGAGGGACCCTGCCCTCCTCACCTGAGGGCGTCCATGCGTGCGCCTCGGCTGGAGCACCAGGCTCACCTGCCACCAGGTGCCGGGGGTTGGGGGTGGGGGGCTGGGCAGGCTGCTGCTCCCCGGCCTCAGTCAGCGCCCGGGAGCCTTAACCACCCCCACAGGCTCGCCCCTGACGCTGGTGAGGGCCGAGGGCCTGCCCATCACCGGGTCAGTGTGGCCCGCAGCCCACAGGCACCTCGCCGGCGCCGTTTGGTGGATAGGACTTGGCTCCTTTCGAGTTTTTCTTAGCGTGGCTTCCTTCTTACACACCTACACCGAGAGAGCTCTAATTCAGGTTATGTTGGCGAACAAAAATAATCACAGAACAGGGTTTACATCTTCTAATTACACAGAATTTAGGACAATACTCGTGTAAGTGATTCCGAAAGGCTTTATAAATAGGTCATAATAGGCCCTTTTTATCGCCAAGACCTCACGGCTCCACACAGCGGGCCGGTCTCTGTGTGTGGAAGAACCAGCGGCAGGCAGGAAGCCGGCGCCCCCATGCCACCGCCACCGCCACGTCCTAGCAGCGCGGGGTTCGGGACGGCCGAGACGGCTGCGTGGCCCACGGTGTGTGACAGCCGTCGGCTGGTCCCCACAGATGCAACCACCCGTTCCACTCTGGGGAGGGAAACCCCGCTGTGACCCTGGGGTCCCTTTGGGGGGAGCAGGCGCACTGCCTCCCTGACCTGATCGGAACAGTGGCCACCTCGGGAGTGAGACCGAGCCCAGCCCGTCCCTGGCGTGACTGGCCAAACCGGGAGGCTGCACAGGGCTCTCCCGGTGACTCAGCAAGAACAAGACACTTAACGAGTTTCAAATGCACAGCTAAGCAGTCGATCGTGAAAGACACGCTTGCCCGACTTAAAAGGAGGGGTTGGCCTCGCGTGCCGGGCGGCCTGGAGGGAAGGTGGAGGGACAGCCACCCACCACTCACCTCAAAAAGCCCCAATCGAGGCCCTGGGCCCAGCACCGGGACAAAGGTGGGAGACACACTCCCTCCCTGACCACCCTGCAGGTCCGGGGCAGCCAGTGCCCATCAGCACTGCCTGACCCTTCCTGTCCCACATGGCAACAGCTGCCAAAGTACAGGGGAGGGGACACAGACCTCCCTGAGGATGTGACTGGGGACGCTGGCAGCAGTGCTGGCCTCGTCTGACTCTGGTAAACACGGTGCAAACTGTAGACCCCGTGTTCTCGGACAGCGGCAAAGTCTGCCTGAGCCCGGGCAACAGGATGTGGGGTGAGGCGGCCCCTCCCGGGGCAGGCAGGCGGGGCAGGCAGGCGGGGAAGGCGGCCCTGGGCCCAGCGGGGCACCCGCCGGCCAGGGTTGCAGGACGGACGAGTGCAGGGCAGTCTCTCGGAGGCGCTGGGAGGCAGAGGGCTGTGGTCCCCGCAGAGCACGGGCCAGGAGAGAGAGATCGGGGTTCACAGAGGCCCACCACACGTGGGTAACAGGGCCCGGTCCATGTTCTAAACACCTAAGCCCAAAAGCAGTGGGCAGGGGCGCCGGGGTCAGGGGCCGGGGCCTGCAGGCAGCAGGGCTGCCCCCACCACTCCCCAGCCCTCCACACACTCGTCTGCACAGCAGGGACAAGGTGGCCCCTTCTGGGGACAGGGCGGCAGCCACCATGCACACCCCTGGCACCCGGCACTTGTTCCAACGCCTGCAACCGCCCAGCCACCCTCTCCCCGGACAGCCCCCCACGGACCCTGGTCGGCCCAGCCCCGCCATGATACGCACCCTTGGGCCACGTCTAAGGGGCCCTGACGCCCAGGGCTCACTTCCCCCCATGGCCAAGTCTCCAAAAGCAGTAGGTGGCCGCGTGACCACGAAGGGTCAGGTGGGCCTTTTCGAAGCTTAGCAGGCGGCTGCTGGCAGGAGGCCCCATCCCCTCCTCTTGCCACCTTGAGGCTGGGCCCACCCCCACAGGATCCACAAGAACCAGCCGGCCTGCCCCTGGAGAAGGCGGAGCCGACTTCAAGGGGTGATGCCTGGCACCTCCCTTCGGGGCGCCAGCACTGCCCAGCGGCTCAGGTGGGGTCCCTGGGCCGCCCCCCCACGGGCATTCTGTGTGGCAGCAGATGGGGGTCGTAGGCTGTTTTTCCACAGCCTGTCCACCCCCAGAGCCACGATTCTGGATGGTCAGCTTAGAGCTCGGCCCTTAGGCAGCCCAGTTAAAGCCCCTGCCCGCCCACCGACCCTCCTGGGACAGGCCCCGGCCCCTCCAGACAGACACTGACACCCGGCCCCAGGTCGCCCCAGCAGGGCGTGACATCCGGACACGGGGCGGCAGGGCGCCCCACCCTCCGTGTCCCACCGTGCCCGCAGCGCCGCCCGCCCCCCACGCCTGGCTCCCCGGCAGCCGGCTCATCTCACTTCCTCCCCAGCACAGTGCCAGCCGCGGCCAAGTCCCATCTGCAGCCAGTGGGTTGGGCTCAAGGGACCGTGGTGTCCACCAGCCCCCCTCACTGCCCGGAACTCTGCCTCTGGGCCCAGCACCTTCGGGTCCCTACTGCCTTCCTCCCCTTCACCCCACACCCACCTCGCGCCAGACCTTAACTCTCTGAAGGGGCAACCTCGGGTGGGAGCGCCCCCTCCCTGGGTTCTTCAGCGACAGCTGTCGAACACTCCACCACCTTCCCACCTCACCCTGGTGGGCTCAGCACGCCTGCAACATGCGCGTCCCATGCAGGGCCGGGGCGGGGCTGGGGGCCCAGGGGTGCCACCGCTGAGCGCCTCTGCCCCGGCCCGGCAGGCAGCACAGGCCACACGTAGGCCTTCCAAGTGTCCCCCCATCCGGTCCCCTGGCTGCCTCCGACCCCCCCCTCTGGAAGGAACAGAAACCAGCCCCTGGGCACCAGCCCACCCAGGACCCGAGCACATGCCCAGGGAGGCCCTGAAGGAACCCGAGGCCCAGCCTTGAGCTGCCAGAGCACCGGGCGGGGGCAGCTGGGCTCCGCCCGCCCCGCCTCCCTGAACCTGGGACATGGGGACGACCCTGGGCAGTGGACCCTGGGCAGGCCTGTGGGCAGTCAGTCACGTCTGCCCTCCCAAGAGGGAGACGCTGGGCTTTGTGACTTGACGGTTCCCACGTCCTCTAACCTCCCGGGTTGCTCACAGCTAGCAGGTGGAACCGCCCGGCCGGAGGCCAGGCCGACAGCCCCTCCCCGTGCCTGAGACCCAGACTGCCCTCCGAGCTGTGGCTAGGCCGGGCTCGGGCCAGCGGTGTGGTGGGTGCCCCCTCTGCGCGGATGCTGTCCCGACGGCCACCACCATGCAGCCACTGGGGCCACTGTGACCCCAGAAACTATCCCGGTCACCCCAGAGCACGACACCCAAGGAAGGGTGACGTCCCCGGCCGACGGCACCCACAGCCGCCTGGGCCCGTCGTTCGGACCTTCTCAGGGAGGCGGTGGCCCCGGCCTCTGCAGGACCCTGCGGGGGACCCCGCGGCCCCCCACCTGCTCCTGGAATTGCAAAAGGAACTGCCTGTGTGTGCCGCACCCTGGCCCACAAAACCACTTCCTGAAGCCAGGATACCAATTCTGAGCCCGCTGGGCAGCTACACCGGAACTGGACGGTTAGGTCCACGTGGTAAGGATCGAACCGTGGCCGCGTGCTGTTGCAGCAAACTCACTCTTCCTGAGAGCAGGCTGATGTCCGCACGACGGGCACAGACATGCAGTGTCCCCTTCCATCTCTGGGGCAGCCACGCCCAGCACTCAGAGCTGGGCCTCTGAAAGCACCCCCCGTGGAAGGAGCCGGGCTCCTGGGAGACCGGGCTGACCAGGGGCTGGGCGAGGAACACGGGGAGTCGGAGCCCCGGCGGGCCGGACGGTGAGGACAGGCTCCCGACCCCACCAAGGTGGGGTATGGCGACCTGGAGACCCTCCGATGGCCACAGCTGGGACAGGGGACCACGAGTACAGGGGCGGGGGCTGTCTCACAGCCCTGAGGGTCGTGAGTGCGCACAGACCTCCGTCAGGACTGGATTAACTAGTGGGGGGGGGTCTCTGGCTGTCCTGGTGGACCCTGCACCCTCCGAAGGGGAAACTGGGCCCCCGTCCCCTTCACTTGGGCCATGCGTGACGACCTCCCTCCAAAGAGGACAGTGTGGGCAGGGAGGGCCTGGGGGGGGTGCCTGACATCCTCGGCCAGGAGATGAGGGTGGACACCACGGTGGTCAGGCAGGGCACTTCCCCTCTGTCAACTCCCCAAACCCATGACCTCACTGTGACCCCAAGAAAAACACTCAAATTCCCACAGACAAATTCCATGGAGAGGGGCTGCAGTGTGGGCCCGACCCCTCCCCAGGCCGTCCGAGCCGTCCTCAGAGTCGTCCCAGCCCAGAGGAGCTTCCGGCCGGGGGTCCTGGGACAGGACCGTGACATCGGGGGACAGTAAGGAGCCCTACGCAGAGCACGGGCCTTACTTAATGACAGGAGAGACGGGGCGGGGGAAGGGTGGGGGGCACACGGGATCTTTGCATTGCGTTGGCAATTTTTATGTAAATCTAACATCATTCTAAAAATTAGTCCATTCTTTTTTAAGTCCAGCAAGCCACCCAGGACGCCGTGAAATGGTGTGTGCACCCAACAGAAAGATGATCAAGGACAGAAACAGTGGGGCAGTCAGTGAGAGAGGGTTCCCTCCCCTGGGGCCCCTCGGCAACAATCCGTTCCCCACACGCCCCCCACTGCCCCCACAAGGCAGCCAGTGGGCCCACCCCCCCGGGAACTCAGAAGGCTGGGGGTCAACAGACGGCCTCACACAGGGAGTGCAGTACAGGCACCCCAACCCTGTGGGAGTGGAGTGGCCAGGAAGGCTCCCTGGAGGAGGCGACATGAGTGCAGCTCACACAAAGGGCCATCGAAGAGGGAACGGGGAACGGCTCGGGGCTCCGCACCCAGTGGGTGAGCGCCAAGGGTTCTCAGGAAGGGGCTGGTGTGCGCTCTGACCCCAGGGGCCCGGTGAGGCCAAGCACGCCCACCTAGACGCACGCAGGAGGTCAGGGTCACCTGGTCCAGGGAAAGGAGCGACCCAGAGGGAAACGGCCCCCAGCGGCCTCGCACCGCGTCGCTCATTCGTGAGACGTGTCCAGAGGCAAAGCCTCAGTGACAGACGGGGGACCAGCAGCGGCTGGTGGGGCTGCGTGGGGGGAAAAGGAGGGACAGCCAGGGGCACTATGTCTTCTGGGCAATGAAACCGCTCCGCGCTGAGACTGCAGAGGGCCAGGGGGCTTCCCGACTGTGCACACAAGTCAGCAACCTTTGCACTCTGTGGGCAGGTCCTTGGCACGAGGGTCACACCTCAGCCAAGATGCTCCACAGACACATGCGTCTCCCGCTGCCCAGCCTCGCCCCACCCCCGCCCGGTTGGCGGCCCACGGGCCCTGGGAGGCTGCGCTGCAGAGTGGTCTCCGGGGCAGAAAAGGGTGTTCGCACGTTCACTCCCCAAAGGCGTGTGGAGCTCCTGCTCCGGACGTGTGGGGAAGAGTGCGAGAGGAGAGAGAAGAGGCCGGGCCACCAGGGAGGGGACACTCAGGGGGACTCCCTGGGGGTGGGAAGGAGGCAGCAGGGAACAGCAGGGGAGGAGGCGCCCGGCCAGGGGAAGGAGCAGAGAGGGGGCCCACACCCCACAAAGGGGGCAGAGGGCGGGGGCGGAGCTGGGAAAGGAAACTGACCGGCCTGGGCGGGGCCTGGGCGGGGCCTGGGGCACAGGCCGGGGTCATGCCCCACACGCCCACCCGCCCAGCCAGCCCAGCCCTCTCCACTGAACACAGGCGCCCCGAGAGGGGGAGCTGTTTCCTGGGGCCCCCTACGGCCCTCCATGGTGCCCACAGCCTGACCCCAGTTTGGGGGCCTCCAGGGGCTTGGGGTCGAGCCGCCCTTCCCCCATCCCCAAGGGAGAGGCGGCACCTCAGAGCAGTATCCCCCACGTCACAGGGCTGGGGTCACGGATCTCTCCAGAGGCTCCCACTCCCACACAACCTCACCGCTCCACCCACACCAGCCGGTGCTGAGGACGGGGCGAACCCCCACCCCCTCTTCCTCCTCCCTCCTGAGCAACACCAGCCAGGGCCCCTCCAGACCTCAGGCTGCTGAACCGCAGACCAGGGTGTCGGCTGACGGGTGGCCCGACCAAGGCCCGGACAGGTGGCGCGCCCCACCCATGAACACACGGCGAGACCGAGAGCCTTCCCCCCTCCCCCCCAACCCCCGACAGGCTCTGCCAGGCTCCAGGCGGCTCCGCCACTCAGCGGCTGTGGCCTCGGGACACGGCTTAACATCTCCGTCCCAAGGCTTGGTCTCAGGGAGGTAAAGCTAAGAATAGCGCCCACCTCCAGCTGCCACAAAACTCCGTCGCAGACAGTGGTCGAGGCCCCACGGCCGTCACTGCGGGCTGGTGGTCCCTTTCCACCCACAAACCCCCAGAAACGCAACCTTACCAGGGACCACTAGGGAGGTGGCCACAGGTCTGGAGACAAACAGCCCCGGTCCCCACCCCAGCTCTGGGCTGAGGGGGCCGGGGCGCCTCTCGGTGCCTCAGTTTCCTGAAAGGCAGCAGAAGGGGGTACAAGTGCATGTCACGAGGACCACACGGGACGATGTGCGGCCACGACGTCTGAGACCGCGCCGGCTGATTCCCGGCACCGTGGGTAACATTTCTGACAGGCCAGAGCTCCCTGTGTCCTGCTTTAACTGCAGGGCGCTGATGGCGGCGCTCACACGTAATCACGGCCCGGTTCCCACTCGGAGGCCACACGACGGCCCCCGATGGCGACCGTCACTAAGTAGAATTACAGCCGTGTCTCACCCGGCCCCTGTGTACAGGCCACACGGACACCCCAGCTTTTCTCTGACTAGGGAACCTCGCTTTCCTCCTCCTCCTCTTCCATCTGTAAGAGCACCCGGCCTTGAAGTTCTCAAGTTAACGGATTACATTTCTCGGTCCCCAGCGGCTCCAGCAGGGACCGGGCTGCCCCACCCCCCGGGGCTGGGTGCTGCCTCGTCACTCTAAACACCACAGCGGCGTCACCTCTCATGTCCGCGGGACCGACTGGGGAGGACTTGAACCCACCCCTCAGGTGCTCTAGAATCTGCCCAGGACAGTTACCATGGTCACACCACCCAACAGCCAGGAAGAACAGGCCCGGGTCGGGGCTGCGCCGGAAAGTCCGAGCCAGCTCTCAGCCCCCCAAACCGAGGCCTGCCAGGCCCAATCGGAACTGCTGTGTTCACCCAGCAGCTTCCCGCAGACGCCGGGTCCGGGCCAGGCCGGCAGAAGCCCTCCCACGGATCACTTCTCACGCTCACCTGTGACTTCTCCCAGCGCAGGGAGCTCTGCCACCACCCGACGCTGGCAGGAGCCCTGCTGGGCAGTGAGCCCGCACTTGGCTCCTGGCACAAATGGTCTCCTTGTCCCTGGCCGGTGTGGCTCAGCAGTTGGAGCATCGTCCAGGCACCGACAGGTCACAGGTCCAACCCCCGGTCCAGGCACACACCTGAGTTGCAAATCCGTTCCCTGGCCACGGGTGCGCACGCCTCTCACATCCTGTTCCCCTCCCTCTCTCCCCCTGAAACCAATGAGCCTGGTGGGGAGTAAGGTCTCCTCCACCCCCGACGACAGGCACGTGGCCTCCCAGCCCTGCCTTGCAGGGCCCACGGCAGCCACGAGGCAGGAGCCCTCACCCTGACATGCTCAGAGGGCCGAGCAGCAGAGACGGGGGCCAGAGGCCACACCAGGGGTGGCAGCCTAGCTCCCCAAGGGGTACACTCTCCCCCTGAAATGAGCACCTGGCTGGACCGGGCCACTCGCAGGGAAGAGCCCCATTTCCTCATAAAGCTCGGCCAGATCCAGCTTCCAGAGGGAAACTCCCAACCTGTGAAGTGTGGGGAGCTGGAAGGGCTCACTGGGGCCCCTGAGGTGCCAGGGTACCCATGGCACAGCCACTAACATGGGTGACACTATGGAAACATCGGCGGAGTCCCCGTTTCTGATTACATGGGTCCCCTCAGGTCGTGGTCTGGGTTTGGTGCGGCTGTCTGTTACACTGTAGCATCACTCGGATACTCTGTTACACGGAGAGAATGGGCTTCAGGCTCGCAGCCTCCCCTGGCAACCAGCACTGGAATCTAATAACATTCCACTTCCACCGAGCCTGAACCGCTCTCTATCACAAGCAAAAACGGTGATTCAGGGAAACCAGCCTGATCCTGGTTTCCAGCTGCTGAAGGTGAGGCCCTGGGAGGGGGAGGAAAGCAGAGGTCACAGGAGCTGGCAGCGGATTGGCCCCCTGACACCCACTTCGAGATGGGCTCCGCAGACAAGTGGGGGCCCGGCCCGAGCTGGTGGAAGACTGAACAAGCCACTCACAGGGCCAGGGCCGAACAGACCACAGCTGGAGAGTTTCCCCTGCGTTTCCAGGAAACGCCTTTCCTGACATGGCAGGGGCAAGCCACACTGCTGGGACTGCCACCTCCCACGGCCCGTCGCCAGGGCAGCTCGGAGGAAAGACAGGCAGAGACGAGCTGGCACCTATCTACAGGCCGGGGATGCCTACCTTCCAGTCCCCGGGTCCCAGCGGGGAGCGCCGGCGGGAAGTCCGGCACTGTCCAGACTGGAGCAGGGGCCAGGGCATTCCTGGAACACACGCATCCAGCCAGACTGCATGTCCCTAAAGAGGCCCAGGACACAAGAGGGGCAGAGCCTGGGAACCATGGCCATCCATGGGGGCAAAGGGCACTTCCAGCCTGGCCAGGGTGCTTGCTCTCTGGGCCAGGTGTGCCCCATCCGCCCCCCCTCCTATTGACGGGGGAAACTGAGACACAGACAGGCTCAGTGGCCCAAGGTCAGAGCAGGTGTGTGACCAGGGCAGGCAAGCCTCCCAAGCCTGCTGCTCACAACAGCCTGGCCCAGTCCTGCCCTGCCACCCTGCCAGGCCCTGCTGGAAAATAAGCCCCAGGGCTAGGCGACCGTTTGTGGGAGAGGCTCCGAACTCTGATCTCCTCGCCAGCCCTGGCGAGGAAGGCAAGAAGGGAACCCTGTGCTACAAAAGGTGTCCCCCAAACGCAATGGTCCCTGCCTCAGGAAATGCAGGGCTGCTGTGAAGACCTAGCTTGCAGGAGTGTTCCCCCTACCAGGTCTCCAGCCCCGGGGGGTTGGTGCTCTTTCTGCCACTGAGCCTCCCCGTGAGGCAGGGCCCATCCCTGGCTCTCCTACCCTGCCTGACAGGGGTGCAGGGCCTGCTCTGGGCAGATGAGGGCCAAGCTGGAGGCTGCCCCACTACACCCCACCTCCGCTCCTGCCCAGGGGCCTGGGCCCCAGCAGAGCCCCACTGACCAACCGTCCCAAACAAAGGGAGAGGAGAGGGCAGAAACAGAGGTGTGAGGAGTGGGCGAAGGCCCACAACTTTTTGGCGGGGTCGTCACGGAGGTCGCAGGGCCCCGGGGCTCCTTCCTCTCCTGTGCCCTCCTCACAGAGTAGGTCCGGAAGGTGACACGCGCCGAGCCCACCCCCCCATCTGGCTTCGGTGACCCCCGGCCCCGCGACCACCACACGAGCCCGGACCCCGCGCCCCGAAACATCCTTCTTTCCCTGGCGGGCCCAGCAGAACGCAGACCGGAGACACCAGACGCCGGGACGCGCCCCTCCCCGGCCCGCGCGGGCCCGGGGGCGTGTGTGCGGGGCGCGCCCGCGCGGGGCCCTACGCAGCGGGCCGCTGGCTCCAGGAGACCGGGAGGACGCGGCGGGGCGCGGCGGGTCGCGGCCCGGGCCGGCCAGCGCCGGGAGCGTGCCCGGGTGTCCGCCGAGGTCCGAGTGGGCGTCCGCGCGCGCGCGCCGCTTACCCTGAGCGGAGATCGGGGCCAACTCTCATCCACCCGCCGCCGCGGCGCCCGCCTGGCCGGCCGCCCGGCCGCGCTGCACCTGCCGCCCGCCCGGGAGCCCAGCGGCGCCGGGGAGCGCGGAGGAGGCGGCCCCGCGGATCCGGGCCACGAGCGCGGAGGCGGGGACGCCAGGTCGCGCGCTCGCGTCCCGCTGCGCGGAGTCTGCGCGCCCCCAGGCCCGGCCTGCGCAGCCGCAGTCCCGCCCCGCGCGCCACCAACAGCCCGGCTCCTCGCACAGCTCCGCCCCGCGCCGCGCCTTAAAGGGGCCGCCGCACGTCGCGCCCCGCCCCCGCGCGGCGGGCGCTCGGGCCTGCGGGAGTGCGCCTGCCCTAACAGGTCCGCGCGCGCGAGTGTGGTCACGCGGCGCAGCCTTTGTTTGGGTGGCCCACGTGCGTCCCCGCCACTCGCGCCCACGTGCCTGCGCGGCGGCTCCAGTGTGTCCGCTAGCCGCTGGCGGTCACCGCCAAGCGGTCCCGCGCGTCTGGCTCGGCAGAGCCCTCGGGCACAGCCACGCACCAGCACGCAAGCTGCTGTCACCTTGCCCGGGGCCCGCCCGCCGGACACCCTGTCAGAGGCACAAGGGGAACACATCTGTTTGCAGGGCGGTCTCGTGGGAGGGCAAAAACTCGGGAATGAGATCAGTCCCTACCATAGGTAGGGTCAGCAACCTCAGGAGACCGCCCTGCAGAGAGAGAGAGAGAGAGAGAGACCCCTGTCCAGGCCTGCTACCCCGCCCCCTTCCCTCCAGGGGTGAAGTCATCAGCCAGGCCACCAGACCTGGGTTCTTGTCCCCCCAAGGAAAGAATTCAGTGGAGAGAGAAAGTGCGGCAAAGCAAGCAGGCATTCATTGGCCACAGCAAAAGCCCACTCAGGACCGTGAAACAAGGAAGGGCTCAGCATAGAAGCACCAGGAGAGCCCAGGCGGGGCTGCCTTAGCTCCCTCGAGAGGCAGAGAAAGGGGGCCTTAGGGACAGGGTCAGGGGTTAGCCTGCGTAAGCTGCTGCTCCCCTTTGCTCCCCTGGTTGCAAATTTCCTGGGGTCCGGAGGAAGAGGGTGCAGGGAATGGCACAGTCGGGCCCCCCAGAGGGAGAGCATATGCTGGCCCCTTGTCTTGAAGGGTTTTTCTCTCTCCTTTGTGGGTGGGAATCTTAGGGAGGCCTCAGGGGACAGTTTCAGTGGCACCTCATCCATTTTCCAGGTGTGTGCTTTCTGGGCCCTGGACTCCACTGATTGGTCGGTGCCAGGACAGGGGGTCATTGGTCAGTGTAGCTGGTCCTGAGGCAGCCATGGTGTCACTTGTCTGGTTTTGCTGCTTCTCTGGGCCCGCAGCTGAAACACAACTGAGGCCTAGAAGGTATCTTTAGGGAGCACAGGTTAGGGGTCCAGACCACATGAGCCGTGACGTGCTAGGGGAGGGCAAGGCACCCCCGGGGCGAGGCCCTTGTTTTCCGGCTTTGCCCACTGCTAGGCACCTGGGTGTTTTGGCCCTGCTGACCATCTCTGCCCGGCCCCTCGCCCTTGCTCTGCTCAGGTCTGTCTAACCGACGGCCACAGAGGCACTCAGACACCCTGCGGACGTGCTCTCACTGTGCGCAGAGCAGCCGTCTCCAGTGGGACCAGCTGGTCCTACAAGGCCTGCTCACCCCGGGCCTGCGGGCGAACCCTGGGTTGCACACAGATGTGCCAAATGACCATTTCTAACCCCAGGCCCTTTGCACAGGCTGCACACCCTGCCTGGAGGGCTCTCCCTTGCCCGTCACTGGCTGCAGCTGGGCACCTTCCACTGACCAGCCAGCAGGGGCGCTGTGCCTACTCCCCTCCCAGCACCAAGACCTGTGGGTGGCCTTCACCTCTGAACTTGTCTTCCCCACCAAGCAACCGGTGCTCCGGGGCCACATTGGATTCCAACCCACAGTTGACTCCAGCCTCCTAGCCCAGGGCCCCACAGGTGCTGGGTGTACTGTCTGAGGAACAGTATTATACCCAGGGAGAGTGTTTTTTCACTGGCCATCTCACCCCTTTTTGCTCTCTTCAGGCACACCCATGCTTAAGTGCCCCCTCTTCCAGGAAGTCTTCCCACACTAGACTGCCCCTTTACTCTGAGCCCTCGCAGAGCCATTCTGTCCATTCCAGACTCTTTCAGAAGAGCTAGTCTGCCCACAGGTCCCTCCCAACCATGGCCTCCTATGTGGGCTTCCTCATTCATCCTGGCCCGGGGCCTCAGCCCCCATTTGTCTTCCTCATCTTCCATCCCATCCCATCCTTTGGGCTTGGACGCTGGCCTCGGAGCTGTTGTCCCACCTTGGACTCTGAGCACTGGCCACAGCCTTGGGCATTGCAGGCATCTGCTCTCTCCCCCCAGCTGCTTGTCAGTGCAGCCTTTGGCCACACTGACCAACCCTCGAGTCTTGGCTTCCTCGTCTGTAAAGGGAAGAAGTGAGATGCCCACCACAAGGCTGTGGTCTCTACCGAGGTCCACGTGGTCCCCACCAAGGAGGAGGGTGCACCTTGTAGGGGAGGCCAAGGGTGTGCAGGCCCTCCAAGGAGGGCTCTGGAACAGGGTGGATGGTGCCAGCCTGCCGGCCAGGGGGCTGCAGGCCTGCCAGCCTCTGTATCCTATGCAAATCAGCATGTCTGCCCTTCGCTCCCTGGGAGTGCCTTGCACACAGTAGGCATGCAGCAAATGCACTACTGAGTGGCCAAATGACACCCAGAAACGTCATTCCCATATTTCGTTGACTTTCAAATGCCATCGGTAAGATGCCCCGACTTAGTGACAGCTTTTCCGGAAAAACCGAAGCACCCACCGCTGCATCAGCTGCTCTCCCACTGCAGGTGCATCAGCTTCTCAGGAGGCTGAGGGGGAATCCGTGAGCACCTCTGGGGGCCGGACGCATGACGTGAAGGGCTGTCCCTGCTGTGGCCCGGGGAAGGCTGTGCTCCCCGCAGAGTGGGGGCTCCTCAGCAGGGCTCAGCCCAGCCCGGAGGCTGCAGAGCGCAGGTCCCCTGCCTGCAGGCCCGGCCCCTGGCTTGCCCCACAAATTTTCAGTTCTGGCTTCTGAGCCTAACGGACTGCGCCACCTCGTGGTCGCGGGCGGAAGCGCAGGGGCTGGCGCCTGGCCCCTGGGCGGGCCAGTTGGAGACCTTCGCAGGCCCCGCCCCTTACCTAATCCTAGTGCCGGGGGCGGGCGGACCAAGCCCGGCCACCACTTGGCCACGTGGCAGGATCTCCCTCCTTGGCTGTTCTGCCTCTGCCCCCAGGGGTGGGGTCAGGGGGCAGGCCACTGCCTGGATCTAGGCTCTGCGTCTTTGCTGTGTAACCGTGGCGAGTTCCTCCACCTCTCTGAGCCTCACTTCCCCTATTTGCAGGGTGGTGGCCCGGGACCTCCGCCCTTCTCGCCCCTCACTGGCTCCACAACCACGAGGGGCAGCCAGCAGTCCCACCTGACCCCCTTTGACCTTATTGTGGGGCAGGAGGTTGGTGTGATCCGCCCGCCCACGTGGTCAGTGGGGGCTGGGGCTGGGGGCTGTTGAAGGCGGTCAGAGGGAGGGCGTGATGGGGGGGGGCAGCCCTCTGTGTTCTTGGGCCCAGGAGGGGCTGAGTGGGCTTGTTGCAGGGGGCTTGTCAGCAGAGTGACCAGTGAGGGGGAAGCCCAGAGGGATTCAACAGCCGGGGCCAGAGGACACCACACACACAAGGTCAGGGGAAGAGAAACAGAGTGAGATCGAGAAATGTGATCCTATTCCTCCGTCCCAGAGAACCTCCTGGGAGGGTGGAAACGCCCTGTGTCTGCAGCCCAGTGCGGCAGGTGGCCACACGTGGCGACTGCGCACTTGAAACGTGGCCCGTGCCACCGAGAACCCGAGCTCGTGGGTACGGCTCCTTGCAACCAATTCACCTGTGAGCCGCCACGTGTGGGGGTGATCTCACCACGCAGACAGCCCCCCCACGGGTTGTGACGGTGCATCGGACTCGCCCCTCCAACATGGAAGCCCAAAAATTAAGAAAAGGAAAGGAATTGTGAAGGAACAACCTAACTAGAAAAACTCAGAAGATGGAAGGCTGAAGGAAAAGAAAACTTGCGAGTCAAAGGGTCCAGGGAATAGCTAGAGATCAAAGCCGAAATCAGCCAGAAGTTAGGACAGAGCTATGGGGGGACAAGCGGAAGAAGAAACTCGACAGGGAGTGCCTTGAGACAAATGGAAGTTAGAAAGCGGGAGATCTTTTTAATAAAAAAAAAAAAGCATAAGATAAAAAGGACTGCGGGCGAGCAGGAGGTGCATATGGAAGACAGGCAGGAAAGCCCGGACGTGCGACTCCTCACACAGACAGACGGACAAATACTGGAGCTGTAATTCGAGAAAGTGTTCCTGAGTTTTAAAGGAAACACCCTTGACATCGCACGTGGGGAGCTCAGGGCCCCGCACGAGGACAGCTGACCTGCAGATGCAGACACTGAGGCAGAGTGACCGGAACTGCTGGACTTCATGGAAAAAGAAAGGGCTGTCCTTCGGCCACCCTGGTTATAAAAAGAAAGCCAGCGTCACTCACAAGGAAAAGTGCCAGACCCCCAGCGCACTGCTGACAGCGAGCTTTACACCAGAACATGGTGTGCCGATAAAAGACCGTGTGAGTCCAGAACGTTCTGCCCGGCCCGAGTGGCCCCCAGCGTTGAAGGCTGGAGAGGGGCTGCTCCTGGTCAGGGTCGCTGCTTCCCGGAGCCTTTCCTGAAGTCCATCAATGACAATGAACTTCAGGGAATGGAAACGAACGGGGAGACAGCGAGACGGGTTGGTGTGGGGCGGCAGCTGCATCTCGGCCTCGGAAGTAAACCTCCCGGACTTAATGTCCACACAGGGGGTGGGGGGTCAGGCGTGCGTGAGAAGCTGGGTCAGCTTGCCCACCACCTTCTGGGCAGTCACTGGACACGAAAGTATGACGACAAACCAGGTGCCGGGGGCCGGAGAGGAGGGGTGAAGGCTACCAGCTGGTGTCGTTATGGCTCCTGCAAGGAGCCAACAAGGCAACAGAGAAGAAAGCGGCAGGGGGTGGGAGAGAGGAGTGGTGGGCAGGCAGAGGGCGGGCTAAGGGCACTGAAAAAAGATGTTAATACAAACTCAGGAATACAACATGCAAAGCTATACTAAAAAGACA